CCCAGCTCTGCTTCCAGGCCCGCCCCCTTCCTCCCGGCCAGCCCTGCTCCCCTCCCGGTTGGTCCCTTGCCCCTCCCCGCATGAAGTGTGTCTGGTATTTTTTTTAAGACTACCTGGTAACCCTAGATTCAGGCCTGGCCCAGTCTTTTACATTGATCAGTAAAGTGTACGGTGATGCCTGACGAATACAATAAAATGATAAATAGTAAGCGATAACTTGTGGTTCCCTTTTGTTTCTCCTTGGGATTCCTCCTTTCGTTGGTCCCTTGCCCCTCCCCGCATGAAGTGTGTCTGGTATTTTTTTTAAGACTACCTGGTAACCCTAGATTCAGGCCTGGCCCAGTCTTTTACATTGATCAGTAAAGTGTACGGTGATGCCTGACGAATACAATAAAATGATAAATAGTAAGCGATAACTTGTGGTTCCCTTTTGTTTCTCCTTGGGATTCCTCCTTTCTCTGCTCCACTTCTATAGGGTTGTACTTTTTTCCTGCCTCTGCAGTGGGCACTACCTTGTTACTTTTTTCCAGTTCCCCTGTTCATTGATCCTTCTCTACCTTTCCTGAATAGTTTGGGGTCACGAGTTAATGGCTAGACCTGCCTTAGTTTATTGTTCTCTTCACAGAAACAGACTGCTCCATGACCAAATCATGTGAACATGGAGCAAAGATCTACACTGGGGAATTGAGAAATTAAAGAATAATTACAAACAGAAATATGACTATATACACCAAAGATGTTTTAAGAGTGAATATCTGCTAAGACGGGAAAAGGAGAGATAAAAGTAAATGGCAAACATTTAATTAGTGGTCATTAAATATTCATGTTCTAGAGAGCCTCTAGTATAAAGTATTCATAATTTGGAAAGAAACAAAGGAGGATGTGATACATAGACTTAACCTGAGCCTAACCCATAATATTTGCATTAAACTTCAAGAAATCATTCTACTGATTTCATTAGCACCAGCACTCAACAAGAAAAATTCAAGATAAGAACAAATTTAATAATAATGGAATTGATTTAGCTCCCATGAAAATTAAAAGAGAAAACTTCACATTGACATGAATGGCAGCTGGAACTGGTCTTTTAAAATTATTGCTGCTCTAGAGGTAGAACTAATCAAGAAGTCTGAACATCACTGAAGGACATGACAAATTTCTTACCTGTATGTTTCTAATGATATTGTGATCTTCTGGTAACTCGGGGTTAATTGCAAAAACAATGTCCTCATAGCCACCATTTTTCAGCTGTACCATGGAACCTCTTTCTATGGATAACAGAAATAAAAGAAGCAAGCTCTTAAGCAGCTTCATTGTCCCTTTCTGCACAATTTTGTTCTAAGCAGGGTGGCACAGCAGGACTATTTATACAATTGCTTATGTACACAAAAAAAGTCTGCACATTTTATGGTAAATCGATAACGTAAATTTAGATTATATAAGTGTGTTCAACCTCATGATGTGTCAGGTAGCACTCGGAAAAATCCTTACTACTGTAATCTAATTCTATTTCCTCATTGAACTGATGCATCGTGAAGTGATCCATGTTGTGTTGTCATGAATATACTGTAAATATTTTGTAAGGCATTTGAAGTGCAGTATCACAAAAAGTCAACTTGTAAAAACTGTAGTTAGGAATGTCTATGAAAAAACTGTTCAGTAAAAAGCTACGTGCTGCTGAATGGGACAAATACAGATAAAGTGACAAAGGCAGATGAATGCTAAGCTATGTATCAGAGGATCTATTAGCTTTCATTAGATGCTTTACAAAGCCTGCAAGGCTTGGGGCGCCCTCCTACCCACAGTGGGGTAAGCTGGCACTGGTGCTCCAGCCACATGGAGGGGGGGCACTGAGCTTCAGTGCCCCCATGCGTGGCTTGAGCACCAGCTCTCCACTGCTGGAGGTGGGGTGGGGCTCCAAGCCTCACGGGTTGGATCAAGGCAAGCCGCAGGCTGAACCCAGCTTGTGAGCTCTGCCTGATGGGGGAGGGAGCAGCTCTGTACTGAAACATCAGCCAAGGAAGTTCTGTTCCCTGCATTAGCTTGCAGGCTCCTATCACTCCCACTGGCCAGAAATCCCTACATAGTACCTTGGTTAGCTGGGGTGGCCCAGACCTGCTGTGACGCTAGAATCTTCTGGGCTGTGGCAACCCTATACCTGATGCAACTCTGCTGCAAGCCATACCTACCACAACTGAGGCACTCCAACTCATCTGTGGCTGGCGCCCCATGACCTGCCATAGCCAGGACATCCCTACCTCCGCACATATTCAGCTGCAGCTGGGGTGGCCTTCCCACATTTCCAACTCAGCCCCAGCTCAAACCTGCAGACCCAACCCTGGAGATGCCATGACAGGGAGAGAAACCTCTTCAGACCAGCCCAGGTGCTGCTGCAAGGAGAGGGAGCTGGAGGGAGTCTTCTGTCCTCACAGTAGCCCCAGAGCACCTTCCTTCTCGCCAAAACCCTCAACCCAGCCTCACCCCATAGCCTGTCCCTGCAGCCAGAACAATCGCACCCCCCACTCCACAACCCTCTCCCCTAACCCTGAGCCCCCATCACCAGCCCAGCCCCAAAGCATGCATACAATCCAGAGCCCTCACATCTTTGCACCCTGGCCCTCTGCCCGAGGCTTGAGCCCCCTCCCACACTCAGAACTCTTGGCTCAACTCCTGCCACAAGGATTTTGTTGTCTGTACCAACATGAAGGTGATGTGTTGCATAACACCTCCATATTGGTGCACATAAAATTAATTCTGCACAAGAGAGAGAAAAATTAGAGAGGACACTGGACCTTCTGTCTGCATCCCATAATAGAGGTAAGGTGACAAAAGAATGGAGGGAAGGAGAGATTAGGACAGAGGATTGACCAGAGAGGGCACTGAGAAAGCCAGGGACATACAGAAAAACTTTTCTGGAGTTCATACAGAAGTAGACAGAGGCCTGGTGTACACTAGCAGTTTAGACTGAATTTAGCTGCACAAGGTCGAATTTTTAAACAATGCATTCACATTACCAAGCCTGTCTCCTCAACCTTCAGGGCTATTCAAGTCGATGTCAGGTACTCCTGATTTCAATGCTATTTCCGACCTTGCCTGATCAAGTTTATGGTTGTGTAGACACAGCACTGGGCTCTGACCACTCTGGCCAGAACTTGTGCCTCTTTTGCTCTCCACGTGAACAGAAAAAGCCTTGTGAAAGTTTGAATTTCATTTCCCATGTAGTCAGTGTTGTGAGCATTCCTCAGAGCAGGCAGCATACCTGGACACAACTTACAATACTTCCATGACTTCCAATTCTTCAAGTCCCATGAGCTCCAGTTCCCAGGGGTTCAGAAGAGCACACTCCTCTCTTTGTCTACTCGGCCTCTGTAAAGGAGATCATGGGCCTTATCGAAGCATGGGGAGAGGAATCCATTGTCTCCAAGCCAGCAAAAGAAATGCCGATATCTATGTGAAGATCTCAAAGGCAATGCAGGCAAAAGGATATTCCAGGGACGCCCAGCAGCGAAGAGTTAAAATCAAGAAACTGAAGCACAAAACAAAGGAGGCAAACGGACAGTCTGATGCATCACTGCAAACATGCCAGTTCTACAAGCAGTTGGATGCTATTCTGGGATGGACCCAACCAGCATCCCAAGCCTGACCATGAACTCGGCCCAAGACACTCCTGGGAAGCGCATGGAGGACAGAGTGGTGGTGAAAGGGGAAGAGGAGGAGGAGAGGGACAAGGAGAATGGCCAGACACCAATGGACAAAAGCCAAGAACTTTTTATCACGTTGGAGCCAATTTCTTCATCCTAGGATGTCTACCAGCTGAGCACAGATTTCAGTTACAGAACTTCTGGTGTGTTCACAATTTTGAGATAATTTTCATTGTGTTTAATGGAGCCTGTCTCTTTAAATGAGGCACACAAAAGCCTCAACCTTTCTGCAAATGTTCACTGGCCAGCAGCCAGTTTCCATGACTGTGTTTGCACCAGGAAAAGAAAGAAGCTTAGCAAAATTAGCCCTACCCCCAGCCCCTGGGTGGAGTAAGGTTGAGCTAGGAGCAGGAAGGAAAAGCTGAAAGAGGCACTGATTAACCAAGTCATGGTGCCCCACCCCAAAGCTGGGGATGACAACGACTTGGGAGAAATAGCTGGTCACTACATTTTGGTAGGGGACGCTGAGCAGTCCCCTGACAGCAGTCTGGGAACAAGGATGAAAAAGCTCCCTCAGGCCTTCATGTTTCTCTCCTTCCCAAGTTTCTTCTCACTTTTGACTCCCTTCCTACTTCTTCTCTAAACTGCTCCTATTTTCCCTCCTACCTATTTCCCTCTCCTTCTTTAGTTACCCAGAATCCCTTTTTTCTCTTCCTCCTCACTCATCCAACCTGCAGGTACAGTAAAAGTTGGGGAATTCTTCAAGTCTTCCTGCCCTATATTCTAGGCTTGGATTTCCAGCTTTCAAGGGTTAATCAGCCTTCTCTTGACCTGTAATTCCAGGGAGAACAGATCTTTAGGGCCTCATAGTTGCCCCATGCCCTATATGATCCTGAGTTTCTTTCTCCCCATTCCAGCTGAGCTCTTTTATTTCAGACTCTTCTGCCCTTGTCCATTTAACCCTGTTCCCCTCATTTCTCCAGCTGTTTCTTTTCCTTCCCATCACCTTCTTTCAGGTTCCTTTCCCATCCCTGCTCCTCCTCTTCCCACCTGCACTGGCCCCAAAGTGTTCAAAGCATCAAACCAAAGAAAACTCTTTTAGACCCATATTCTTTAAGGTCAAAAGGGACTATCATGATCATCTAGTCTGACTTCCACACTGCAGGCCACAGAACCTCGCCTACCCATTTCTGTAATGGACCCATAACCTCTGGCTGAGTTACCAAAGTCCTCAAATTACGATTTTAAAACTTCAAGTTACAGAGAATCCACCATTTACAATCATTTAGATCTGCAAGTGACCTGTGCCCCATGCTGCAGAGGAAGGAAACCCCAACTCCCAGATCTCTGCCCATGTGATCTAGGGGAAATTCCTTTGCAAGCCAAATGATGGCGATCAGTTAGATCAGGGCAGTGGTCACCAACCTTTTGGGGCTGCCGGGCGCCCAAGGGTGGCACCGCACATGCACCGCGTGTTCAGGGCAGGGGCTGTACCCAGGGTGCAAGAATGGCTTGGGCTGGCCCTGGTCACTGGGAGGGCACACATAAATGCCCCGGCAGGCACCATGGCGCCCATGGGCACCGCGCTGGGAACCCCTGGACTAGGGAGTGATGGATTCTGCCTAAAAATGGAGCGTGGGGGATGAGACCCCCATCCCATTCACGACCCCATCACTCCTCTTTTCTCAAGGCCCCACTCCCTGGTGAAGCCGGAGCCATGGTAAATGAGCCCAAGAACAAGTCCTGGTTCCTGTCTCCACCCCTTTGGCCACTCACGCAGAGCAGGTGGACGATCTGCATGGCTCTTACCCTGACCTGATTTCAGCTTTCAGCCTGACAGTGGGGCTATGGGGGGAGGGGACGGGCAAAGAGTCACAGGTGGGACATAGTAAGAGCTGACCAGGCATCTGTGGGAAGCTGTGGATTCTCCACCTGCCCAGGATGGGGGGGACCTAGGGACATGAGGGAAAGAATTCTCTGTAGTAACTCACAGCACTCCCATCCGCAAAGATAGTCACTGCTAGCAGCCGCAGATTTGCTACATGCCATTGTAGGCAGTCCCATCATACCATCCCCTCCATAAACTTATCAAGCTCAGTTTTGAACACAATTATGTTTTTTTGTCCCCTCAGTTTCCCTTGGAAGACTGTTCCAAAATTTCACTCCTCTGATGGTCTGACACCTTTGTCTAAGTGGGCCACAGGCTCACTTTGAGAAACGTTGGTCTAATTCCAAATCTAAATGTAGACAATTTAGACCAGGAATGGGGAAACTTATTTGGGTCGGGAGCTGCTGACCCACAGAAAAGTCAGTCGGGGGCTACACACAAGTAAGAACTCCTTCCCCCCTCACACACATACAAAACAACAGGCAAGCTGGGGGCCGCATTTGGCCCCTAGACCTGGTGTTCCCCACCCTTGATTTAGACCTATTTGATCCTGTGTCCAGATTGGTGCTTAACTTAAATAAGTCCTCTCACTTCCTGCTATTTATCTCTCTGATACACTTATAAAGAACAATCATATATCTGGTTAAGTGTATGCAGAAGCAGTTCAGACAAGGCTTGTCTGCAAAGAAGTAATCTACTCCTACCTCAAGACAATAAGGAACAAAATGTAAAAACACTGTGGGACAAAAGAATCTGCAACTTCTGATTCACATGATGCATCAGTTCTGCATCTGCAACGCCCAACTCTGAAGCTGTGTCTTCACTAACAAAACAAAAAAAAAGCAGGTGGGGTATGTTTTACAATACTGAAAAAACATGCTGGAGGCAAAGCTATTTAGTTTCAACACCTGGTAAAAGTAATTCAACATGAATTACTTTACACATAAGTGGGTAAACATTAGGTTCTGGCGGAGAAGAATTCTCCCACATTTGCTATCTCCCCGTAAAAAACCTCATACTTTTTAAAAAAAGAGTTGCAGCAGAAACAAAACCACATTAGTGACACAGCAACATACACCATCCCTGGGAGCCAATGACTCTCAAATGACTAACAACAACAGAGGGGAAGGGAGAAGGAAGCAGGAGCCATTGCTTAAAAGATGGTTTCCCCCCCCAGCACTATCTGCACAGAAAGGCAGAGGCACAGAGGGGAAACAGCACAAGCAGGGAAGCAGTTCCTGCTTGCCCCAGGTTCCCCACTGGTCTTCTGCCTTTAAATTATGTTTTTTTTCCAAATATGCATTACTTTACATTTATCAACATTAAATTTCATAAGTAATTCCTGGGACTCACAAAAAAAAATCATGCATTTTGCCTTGGAATGCACCATGCAATAGGTATTTTAAAATAAATTCCCCACATTACCTCCATTTAAATTTTCATTCTCAACCAACACTTCAAAAAACTCACATGCTACACTATCAGATATTCTGAACACATTTTTCATTACCTGGGAATACCTATTTCCAGCAAAGCACAAGTAACCAAAGTTTGTTAGCCAAATGGTATGTCTTCCTCCTGATCGTTTACAAGAAAAAGAATAGTGTCAGGGACTCTAGCCCAGACGGCTCGGTTCGTTGTCTGACTGCAAAGAGACAGGCAACACCAGCAAAGTCCAATCACAAGCTCTTTATTGAAGAGTGAACACAGCAATAGAGAGCGGCCCGTCTCCAAAGAGAACCAGCCCCGATTTTAGTAACAGGTTGGCTTATAAAGACAGTTCCATCGCATCATAAGCTCTTCACCCAAGCCACTTACCCCTCTTTCTAAAACTTTTAATATCTATTCATATCTTGGCCAACCATTCATTGTGGCCAGAAGCGCTTCATGATGCATCAGCAACTTTCGTATCAATCACAAAAGGCAGGTACCAGGAACAAGGAGACAAAGGAGTCGGGCACAAACAAAGGGCAAAAATAGGGAGGTAAGATTAGCGAAGGGGAACAGAAACAGGGAGTTACTGACCAGTTCCCAAAGCAAGCCATAGTAGGTACAAATATGTAATTTATCACTTATTTTACTTTTATAACCTAAACCAGCCTCTGTTTGAACCACATTCCTGGTTCTGGTCAAGAATACTCAGAGGCCTATGAATTTAGCCTTTGTTAACTTTCCTTAGCATAATGTTGACCGGGCCTTGTTTTTCTGGGCCCAACAATAGTTTCCTCATTCCCATTGTCAAAGTTAGACTCAGGACTCACAATTTCATTGACAACTCTATTTTATTAGCAAAGCGCTTTGCTAATACAACCAGAAAAGTGAGACCCCCTCCCAAACCCAAGCCACCTTATTTATACAGATAAAAGGATTGAAAAAAGGGCGTAAACTGACAAGGTTACCTGGGGTCAGTCAAGTATCTCATTTCCTTATTAACTCTTACCAATCTCCTGTTAATGTCTCACTATCACCCTTAAGGGGAACCAATGTCCTCTGCCTTAACATCCTCCTTTCTGCTTACATACAAACAACTTTACCTTAACATCTCTCTTCCTGCTAAAGAAACAAACATTTATTTAATTCATTCTAATTTTACAATATAATTCAGTCTACTTTCACAAAAGCTTGTTAATCAAATGGCATGCCTTCCTCCTGATCGTTTACAAGAAAAAGAATAGTTTCCTCATTCCCATAAACTTCCTTTCGGTAAGTACATATTCACCTGCCAAATGGCTGTACCTCGAAAATTTAAAGGGAACTCCTATTAATTGTTAGTAACATATCCTGAATAGTAGATGATGACTAGATGTAAACTACAAACCAAATAAAACCCTAGATACAGCCTATTCTTGAAGGCCTTGCACAGCAGCAAACAACGTACTCATTCCCCTGAATATACACCATTAAATTGCTGCAGAAGCTAACAAGCCAAACATACATATGATTCAGTAGCAAATGGAGTCTCATAAACTGCATATAACATATCACAAGTCAAGAACACCATTCACATTAAAATGTTTACTTTTCCTAGTCACTCCTTGCATATCACCTATGCTTTCAGAAATTGTTCAAATTGATTCAACCGCCATGCGTTCCAGAACCAAGAAACTCAATGTTATATTTGAAGCAACACTGAAGAACATTTGAAGGGGTTGAGGACAGGGAATAATGAAAGAAAGGTCCAGAGGAGAAACTGAAAACAGAAAACACTGAGGTCTCAATCCTGCAAAGTGATTCTCAAGCACTGGCTCTTATTCCCACATGGAGTCACAGTGACATAAACTGGATTCTGATTGGGGTCTTAGCTCTGAAGAGGACAGCAATATGTAAATTAAATAAGTGGTAATGTAACTGGGGTTAGACTCATCATAGCTGTAAATGCTAGCTAATTATACAAAAATGTATAAATCATCTTCCAATTTACAGAAATGTCATAATCAGTAAAATCAAGAAGTGATCTTTTTGGGGTTGGAGGCTGCTGACCCACAGAAAAATCAGTCAGGGGTCACACGATTCTGTGTGCTGAATTTCGATTAATTGGCTAATCAAGTAGTCAATGGAATTTCCATCTCCCTTTGAAATGTACAGGAGACTTGGCAGCTCTTCTACACTTCAAAGGGAGAAAGGCAGCAGGAACCCAGGCCAGCTGGCCTGGGCTTCAGTCTGTGCCTTTTCCTTTGAAATGTACAAGAGTCACAGGCGGCTCTGTACATTTCAAAGGCAGAGGAGCAGCATTTGGGACCAGTGTGAGCTGGACTATTTCAATATCTGCTCCTACTGTTTCCCCTCTGCCCTCTCCTTCCCCTTTAGCAGGCTAGCCAGTAGCCCTGCTCAATCCTGGCTCACACTGGGTCTGGGACCTACCCCCACTATGGATCTGCATTTAAAGTGTAATACGAACCAGGCAGGCAGGCAGTCCAGCTCATGCCAGGTCTGAGAGCTCAGCCCCTTGCCATATAAGAGACAGCAGCATGGGATGACACAGGCAGCTGGTCTGCAAGGGGAGCTGTTTTTTTAAACTGGCTCCCCTCGTGGACCAGCTCTCGCTGGCACCCCACACTGCTGCCTCTAATACAGTCAAGTAACAGATAAGAATTCATGAGATTAAGTGCAAATTCAATTAACCAATATTTAGTATTCCTAGTATATAAGTCACATGAGGGGGGTTCCTAGAGGACAGACGTGTATGATGGGCGGGTAGGGGGCCCTAATCTGCAAAAAAGCGTGATGGGTGAGTGGGGGGAACCTAGTCTGCAGATGTACTGACAGGCAGGCAATGCGGGGGACAGGTGCAAGTGATGAGACTGGGGCAGTGTTGACAGGCAGGCAGGGGCCTGCTGGGGAGATGCTGCACAAATAGGGGTGCCAGACAGCCAGGTAGTTACGCCCTCTGTCCTGTAAAAAAAATTCAGAAAATACCCAACAGCTAAAAATGGGCTGGAGAGAGGGGAGAGCAGGAAGTAAAGGGCTCCTCCTCTCCCTTTTCTCAAGATCTTTTCCTGCGCTTTTTTTTTTTATCCTTTTCTCACCAGCTATTCCTGTGGCTCAACAGATTTTTTCCCCCCGAGGGGTGTCAGGTATTTTTTGTGAAACCCGCTGGCAACCCGAGGCACAAATCCAAAGCAGGCTCCCAACACTCAGCTGGGCTCCCGCGCGGGGGTGCCACGTGCTCAGCAATGGCCCCTGCCGCGCGCGGCGAACACCTCAAGGCAGCGGTAGGGAGGCGCCTCTGCGGCCCCCTCGGGCCGGGCAGACCCCTGCTCCGGCGGGGGGGTGTCAAGACGCTGCTCTCCGGGTCCCCAGCAGCG